CAGCAAAAAGAGGAGGATTGGCATGGATGTTAGCTCAGGGCTGATCTTCCTCACAAAAAAAAAAAAAAAATACAGGAAAGAGGGGGCTGGCCTGGTTGCCTAGTGGTTAAGTTCGCATGCTCCACTCCAGCGGCCCGGCTTTGCAGGTTCAGATCCCAGGCGTGGACCTATGCACCGCTCATCAAGCCATGCTGTGGTGGCGTCCCATATAAAGTGGAGCAAGATGGGCACAGATGTTAGCCCAGGGCCAATCTTCCTCTGCAAAAAGAGGAGGATTGGCAACAGATGTTAGCTCAGGGCTAATCTTCCTCACCAAAAAAAAATTAAACAACAAAAAATTAGGGGGCCTGTGTGTCTCTCTGATCATTCCCTCTAGGAGAATCCAGTTGCCATGTCGTGAGCACGGGCAAGCAGCCCCATGGAGAGGTCCGAGTGGTGAGGAACTGAGGCTCCTGCCAACACCCAGGGCCAGCGTGCCTGCCATGTTAGGGGGCCACCGTGGAAGCAGACCCTGCAGCCCCAGTCAAGCCTTCAGATGACTGCAGCCCAGGCCGACAGCCTGACCACAATCTCATGAGAGACCCAGAGCAAGACCACCTGGCTAAGCTGCTCCTGGAGTCCTGACTCTCAGAAACGGTATGATATAATAGATGTTAACCAGTGTTTTAAGCCACTAAGTTCTGGGATAGTTTGTTTCACAGTAATAGATAGTTAACACACCCCTGAACCTAACTGTCCTGTAACCCCTCAATCTAACTGTCTCTCATCAGCTAACCGCTGAATTGAACTCTCCTTCCACTCCAGCAGCTAAACTCCTTGAATCTAAACCTGACCCCCTAAAAGTCGAACACTCATTCATTCATTCATTCATTCATTCTTGCAACTGATACCTAAAACCCTGGCACACATATAATTATACTAAGATCTGAGGCTGGGGAAAGGGGCCTGTGACCTTGCTGGAAGTCTGTCCGCCCACACCCTCGGATGAGCAGGGCGTCTCCAGTGAAGGCCATGCTGTGGTCATTCAGGACGAAGGTGACACAGCCCGGGGTGTGGCCAGGGCTGGCCCGGGTCTCCACGGCCTGGCGGAGAGGGAGAGTGCAGACAGTCACCACTAAGAGAATGGCCCTGCCCTCATGGTGAAATTGGCCTCAGAAGACCCCACCCAGGGTCACATCTAGATAACCTTTTTTTGATACAAAAAATTGAGTTAGATTCCCAGAATCAAACCTTCCACCAGAGTAAACTCCCAATGAATTAAAAACTTAAAGCAAGAAAATAAAATCATAAAACTGTGACAACAAAAATACAAATCATATATGATCTCTGGTTAGAGAAGAACATTCAAATGCAATCCCAAAAGTCATGAATCATTAAGGAAAAGATCAATGGTTTGACTTTAAGTAAATTTGAAGTTTTTGAAAGGCAACAACATCATAAATAAAATTTAAAAGGAGCCAACAAGCTGGCAAAATACATTTGTAACACATATATACCACATAGCAGTCAGCGTACTTAATATACAAATAGATCTTGCAAATCAATAAGAAAAAGATAAGCACACTAATATAAATATGGAATACTAAACAGTCACTCAACATTGTCATTAAAATTGATGATATATACAAATATTTAATGCCACGAAGAGATGTTTATTTTTTTATTTACTTTGTTCTGTGTGTGAGGAAGATTAGCCCTGAGCTAACATCTGTTGCCAATCCTCCTTTTATTTATTATTTTTTTTATTTTTTTTTGCTGAGGAAGATTGGCCCAGGCCTAACATCCAGGCCCATCTTCCTCTACTTTTTATATGTGGAATGCCTGACATAGCAAGGCTTGATGAGCATTGCATAGGTCCTCGCCCAGGATCCGAACCTGCAAACCCCAGGCCGCTGAAGCAGAGCACACGAACTTAACCACCACACCACTGGGCCGGCCCCATGAAAAAATGTTTAATATCCAGTAAGTGCAAAAAGCAGGTTATAAAGCCACTTGTAAGTATGAAAAAGTGTCATATTTTTTTAAAAATTTTATTCATTAACTCTAGATATATATTTATTTCTTTGGGCTTTTCCTATATTATCCTTTTTTTTTAACAGTGAACATGTAGTTTTATAATTAAAAATAAAACACAAAATTCAGGATACACAAAAGATCTAAACATAAAAAACATATAGGAGATATATATAAATCCTGAGGTAGGAAAGGTTTTTCTAAGCATGATAGGAAACTCAGAGGCCACGAGGAAAAATAGTGACAGATGTGACTGACAGTTTAACTTCATTATAGAAAAAAATGAAATCAGAGTTAAAAGACAAAAAAATTCAGAGCGAATATTAGCAGTATGTATAAGAAAGTATTATAGAGCCAGCCCTGGTGGTCTAGTGGTTAAGATTTGGCACTTTCACGGCCGCGGACCGGGTTCATTTCCTGGTGGTGGAACCACACCACCCGTCTGTCAGTTGTCATACTGTGGTGGTGGCTCACACAGAGAACTAAAACTAACAACTAGAATACACAACCATGTACTGAACCTTCAAAAAAAAAAAAGTATTATAAAGTATGAATAGCCATTATATATAAACAGCTCCTAAGAATCCCTAAAAGAAAAAAAGGCGAAAGAAAAAATTAGGCAATTCATAGAAGAGCAAACAAATAATCACAAAACACGTGAAAAGATGTTTGATCTCCCTTAAAAGCAAGGAAGGGAGAGATTTAAATTCAAAAACCCCTATTTTCCACCTACCAGATTGTCAGAGCGGCTTAGGGTATTTGAGGCAAGCCCTTACATTTTCTGGGATGTGGATGCAGCTCGGCATCGCCACTTTAGAGGGCAACTTAGCAGTGTCCATCCACATCTCAAATGTGTGCAGTTTGACCCCTCAAAGCCACTTCTAAGACCCTGCTGTTACGAACCCCTGACACACGTGCACAAAGCTGCCCGCCCAGAGAGTTCTCATTATAGAAATCCCCACACTCAGTTCAGGGAAGCAACTGTCAGAAAAAATTATTGCCCTAATGATCTAACAACCACTTACAACATTAGTTCCCACTCACACATGACTCCTCCCTTTGTCATAGAGGCCCTTCCCACTAATTAGCATCCTTGCCCAGGTCAGTCATCTGCCGATTACTGAAGGACACTATATGCAGACACTGTCTCCACACCCAATATCCATTCTGCCCTTCCCCGCTCACAGATCTCCAATTTGGTTTGGGGCATCAGAGTGCTCAGCCAAGCACTTTCCCAGCCTCCCTGGCAGCTTGGGTGGTCTCTGACACAGTTCTCTGGCCAATGAGATTTCAGTAAGTCTGAAGATTTCTGGGAAAGCTTTTCCCTTCCTGATAAAAGGGACTGTCATCTCCCCTTTCCACTTCATCTGGCTCTGAATATAAAGTGGGATGGCTGCAGCTGCAGCAGCCACTTTGCAACCATGAAGGAAAAGTCAAGAGAATCCCACGAATGATAGCGCTGCCAAATCAAAGAGAGTAACTGCCATCTTCCAAATTTCCTGTTCCAGAAAATTAAACTCCTACTTATTTAAGCTACTGTATAGGGTTTTCAGTTACTTTCGGCCACTTTCATAATTCATATATAATAGCATATCTGTGCAGTGTAAAACGAGTGCAAAGCAAAATCACAAATCTTGCAAAATCATGTTGGGAAAAAAATCACACCCCTCAAAAATTAGCATTATCTTTTGGAGGTAGAGGGGTGATCTTTTTATTTTGTATCTTTCCATACGCTCTCAATTTTTTTTTTTCCAACAAAAAGCATGGATGTCTTTTGAAGTGAAAATATGGATGGATATTCAGGAGCAATGTTCAAAATATTTAACGGCAGTTATAACATGGGTACTGGCCAACCAGAAGGAAATCAGCTGTAAACAACCAGTACAGTTAGACAGCACCTATATGGTACATATACAGGATACAGTTAAGTATATATATGGTATATATAAGTGTGTATGTGTATAAATTGAACAAAATTGTAAGATCAATTGAACAAAATCCTGCTTGCCACATGAATCAAGATTCCCTAGGGCCTTGGTGACTTAGCCTGAGTCGCAAGTGGCTTTACTGATGATCAGCATCCCTGTTGATCTGACCTTTCCCTTCTCTGAAATATCTAGAATCCATCTCCTCTATCTACCCCCACAATCCTGCCCATCTCAGGCCTCATCCTTTCCTGCTTGGACCAACCACCAGCCTCCTCCCGGGCCCACCAGCCTCCAATCCATCCCCCACATGACCCTGAGGGGGTTTCCTATTGGCCAGATCCAAACCTGCCCCTCTCTGCTCAAAACCCTTCCTGGGCTCCCACTGCCCCCAGGGCAGAGTTCTGGCTCCTCAGCCTGACTTTTGAAACACCCCAGCTCTGGTGCCTGCCCTCCGCTCGTGTCTTATAACATCCTCCTTTCCTCAACATGCCCAGCTATTCTGAGCCTTGGGGTCGTTTCCAGAAAGCACTGGGCTTTTCCACATCTCTTTGCCCATGCAGTTCTCTCTGCCAAGGTACGCCCTTCCCTCTTGTCCCATCAGTCAAGTCTACCCATTCTTCAAGAGCCCGGACACTGACTGACCCAATTCTACAGATGAGGAAACTGAGGCACAGAACGAGAACGAGAACGAACAAACCATAACTACACATGACAATATGGATGAATCTCACAGCCACAACGATGAACAAAAAAAGTGGGCTACACACAAGAGTGGAGTGGAATGGAACAGAACAGAGAGGAATGGAATGCAGTGGGAAATCTCAGAGTGCCTGGTACACAGTAAGGGTAAGTGGTATTTCATGAAGCCTAGGTTTCAGTTCTGAATCCGGACATAAAACGATGTCTTCTCAAAGGCACATAGACTAGTGGTTAAGAGCAGTTTCTGGGGGGGCCTGCCCGGTGGCGCAAGCCGTTAAGTGCGCGCGCTCTGCTTCGGTGGCCCAAGGTTTGCCAGTTCGGATCCCAGGCGCGCACTGACTCACCGCTTGTCAAGCTGTGCTGTGGTGGCGTCCCATATAAAGTGGAGGAAGATGGGCACGCATGTTAGCCCAGGGCCAGTCTTCCTCAGCAAAAAGAGGAGGACTGGCAGATGTTAGCTCAGGGCTAATCTTCCTTACCAAAAAAAAAAAAAAGAGCAGTCTGTAGCCAGATGACATGGGTTCCAAATTTGGCTCTGCTATTACTCACTGTGTGACCTTGGACAAGTTACTTCACCTCTCTGGGCTTCTCTGCTGATTTGTAAAATGAGGATAACAATTGTCCCCACCTCACAAGACTATGATACAGATTAAATTATTTTATGTATTAAGAGTACTTAAAAAAATGCCCAGCACACAATAATTGCTATGTAATAAAAATAATAATAATGTTTTAAAATTCGAAAAACACTGATCTAATGGAACCACAAGGCCTCCTGGGTTCAAATCCTGGCTCAGCCACTTTCTCAGTATAATTTTTGGGCAAGTCACTTTCCCTCTCTGCACTTCTTTCTCTGCGAAGTAGGAAAAATAATTCTGATCTCACTATGTGGTTGAGATGGTTTAATGAGATTTACTTGTCAGAGAAGACATAGTGGAGGCCCAAGGGCCAGATCAGCCAGAGAAGGGTTTTGTTTGGACTGCTCAGTAGCTATCACAAGTCTGAACTTGTTGTCTACCCTTAAAAAGTGGAAAACATCTCCAGCCGGCCCGGTGGCACAAGCAGTTAAGGACTCGCCCTCTGCTGCGGCGGCCCGGGGTTTGCCGGTTCGGGTCCTGGGCGCGCACCGTCGCACCGCTTGTCAAGCCATGCTGTGGCGGCGTCCCATATAAAGTGGAGGAAGATGGGCACGGATGTTAGCCCAGGGCCAGTCTTCCTCAGCAAAAAGAGGAGGATTGGCAGATGTCAGCTCAGGGCCAATCTTCCTCACACACACACACAAAAAAGTGGAAGACTTCTCAAACTATGTATATTTGCAGCTTCTATTTAAAAAAAAAAAAAAGAAGAAGAAGAAAGAGGCGGAGAAGGCTTGGCAGTAGACAGATTACATT